CTGGCTGCTCCCCTACAATGGCGTCACTGTGGCTCAGGACAACTGCTATGCCTCGTACGGCAAGATGGAGATTGGAGCTCTGGGGCCGGGCCTTGGGGTTGGGGTGCAGCATGTACTGGGTTATTTGGTGCAAAGGGGCAGTTCATTGGGATACTTTGGATTCTAGAAGGAACTAGGGAAGAGAGATTTTTTTTTTTTTTATTTCTCTTCCAGTTATGGACTTTGTGGGATCCATTATATTGATGCTGGTTACCTTGGTTTCAAGGCCTACTTCACTGCTCCTCGGAAAGGCACTGTCTGGGTGAGCCTCTCTCTTCTGCAGTTCGTGGGAAAAGGCTCCTTCTCTCACTAGTGATGATCAGCGAAAGGCAGTAGTTATGGGCAGAAATAAGAGAAAATAGGCATGTGGTAACTGTACCATCAAGGATATGCGTTATGTTTGATAAATTTATTTGTGTGTGTCTCTCGTCATATTATACAGACATTTCCAGTTCACAGATCTATCTATATGAATGAATGAATGAATGAGTGATGCTGTTTCTCCCTATTAGAGTCTTTCAGGATCTGACTGGCTTGGGACAATAGCCGCAGGAGATATATCCGGGGAGCTCATTGCAGCCATCTTGCCTGACATGGCACTGAATCCGATAAATGTCAAGCGACCTGTGGAGCGAAGATTTGTACGTATATGAACATCCAGCAGCAGCACCCGCTGTTGAATCCTCCACCATATGGCCTCCTATCTCCTCCTGTAGCATCTAAATTAGTACGAGGTCTCTCAGCCCTGGTGTCAAACACCACCACCTTCTTGTGCTTGAAGTCCTTCTGCCACCCTACCTTCTCCTTGCTCTTGTTCTGACTCCAGCATTCCGGATCCTAACATCCCGGTCTCCTTTCCAGCCTATCTACAAAGCGGACCTGATGCCATATCAGGACAGTCCTGATGATCCAGAGCACTCCTCCACCTCATCTGGAGTCCCCGATCCTCCCAAGGCACGAACATATGCTGAAACTGTCACCCATCACTACTTACTCTTTCAAGATACAGATTTGGTAAGTTAAGACCAGAAGCACAAGTGTGGCATTAAAAGAGGTGGGGAGTGAGCTCCCCATATGACGGGGAATCCTCAGGGGTCCCGGCACAGAGATGCAGAACTAAAGAGCCACTTGCTTCCTGTTGCTGTGTGCCCGCTCCCGCCAGGGTTCCTTCCACAACCTGCTGCACAGAGAGCCGATGCTGCGCATGCAGGTGGGAGAGGGCCACTCTCAGCTCTGCCTGGACAGGCTGCAGCTCGAGGCCATTCATAAGGTAAGTGCTTTGGCTCAGCCTCTGCCTTCCCCTCGACTCAGGGCTGTGGTGAGTGAAATTGGAGGGAAGCAGCCTGTTAACCTTTTCCTCATGCAGTGGCTTCCCTTTTCTCTGCTGTTCACTTGCACACAGTCCTAGCCTTTCGATTGTGGCCCGTTTCTTTGCTCCCACAGTGGGCTTGGTCAATCATGAGGCATTTCTCTGTTTTCTGTTCTCACAGGTACGTTTCAGCCCCAACCTGGACTCCTATGGATGGCTGGTATCCGGGGGGCAGTCAGGGCTGGTTCGGATCCATTTTGTCCGTGGACTCACCTCCCCTCTGGGCCACCGAATGCAGCTGGAAAGCCGAGCCCATTTCAGTGCTATGTTCCAAGCCACCTCTCCCCCGAAAGGGCCTGGCTTCCCTTCAGCCAGCCACCGCCTTCTGTCTAGTCCCTAGTCTTGGTCCAGCAGGAGTGACTCTATCAGGAACAAGCGGCCCCTATGCACAGAGCCATAGGACCTGGGGCCCTTCTGGACAGTGATGCTGCTAGGCCTGACCTTGAGGCCTGCCTCCCCAGGACTCCGTAGATCCCTCTCCTTCTACAGACTTCTACGGGCACAGTTCCCTGTGGGCATAGGGGTAGGGGCTCTCCTTCCACATAGGCGCCTCAGCCTACAGCTATGACTCACAGGCAACACTCAGGCCTGACTCCGGCTTGGGAGTCAACTTGCTCATATTGAGCACATTGTGAAGAGGGTGAAAGCTAAGTAAAGGTACTGGGTGTTTTTGAGACCACTTGTGAGTGGTGTTTGGAGAACTGGAAAGGGTGTCCTCATGAAGGCTGCTGTGGGGCTGTGCTCCAGGGTCCATCATCACTGCCTTCCCCCGCGTCCTCTGTAGTGTAGCCAACACACAGGCCCGATGGGGTGATGGTCACGCATGGGCCTGAAGCTGCCTCTAGCACCTTGAACTGAGGACCACCAGCGACAGTTGACCAGGAAAGTGGCGGCTCAGCCCTCACACCTCCTGTTTGGGGATCTCCTCCCATCACTAATCACCTGGCCCTACTTGAGCACTCCCAGTCACCTTTTTGAAATCTTTCTTTATATCAAGTCAGAAAGTAAATCTCTTAATTTTACTCATGAGTGTTAGAAAATCTAGCCATTCTCCCCTGTAATTGCCTTTTTAAGTATTTAACAATAGCTATCATGTGTTTCCCAAGACTTTCCTTCTCTAGATTAAATATCTTCAGTTACTTCAACCATTCTTTCACACGTCATTTTTTTTTTTTTATTTAAGAGGCCGAGCGAGGGAGATCTTGTCTGCAAGTCCACTCCCCAGATGCCCTCAGCAAACAAGGCCAAAGCCAGAGGGTGGGAATGTTCTCTGTGTGGGTGGCAGGAACCCCACTATTTGAGCCATCCCCATTGCCTCCCAGGGTCTGCATTAGCGGGAAGCTGGAGCCAGGAATGGAGCACCCACCTAGCCCCCTGATGTGGAATGCAGGTGTCTCAGCTGCTAGGCTAAATGCCCCCTCCTTCCTGATACTGCCACATTGCTAACTGACTGGGTGACGAGGCCAACTCAGCTGACGACAGTACTGCCTCCTGGGTAATGGCAGACCCATTAACCAGGAACAGGCAAACTGCAGTCTCTCCAGAAGGGATAAGCAATTCTTCAGGTAATGTCTGGAAATATCCACTTTTTTTTTAAAGATTTATTTTTATCGGAAAGGAAAATTTACATAGAGAGGCAAAGGCAGAGAAAAAGATCTTCCATGTGTTGGTTCACTCCCCAAATGCCTGTGTGGCTGGAGCTGAGCTCATCCAAAGACAGTAGCTTCCTCCAGGTTTCCCACACGAGTGCAGGGTCCCAAGTCTTTGGGTTATCCTCCACTGTTTTCCCAGGCCACAAGTAGGGAGCTGGATTGGGAAGTAGAGAAGCTGAGACTCAAACTGGCACCCATATGGAATCCTGGCACTTTGTAAGGAGAGGATAAGCCAGTTGAGCCATTGTGCTGGGTTTTATGACACCCAGGAATTCAGGCTAGGATTTGGAGGGAGGTAGAAGTCCTTAGGAAATGGGGAAACAGACAACCAGCTCCCACTGGGGACAGCAGAGGTTAGCTTTTACTTGACCCTCTGGAGGGATGACTGGCAGGTATCTAGGAAGAGCTCTGCCTTTCTGGGGAGTTCATCACAGGTCAGAAATCTACAGAGAATGAGGGAAGCAAGAAATGCCAGCTCCTTTCTGAACAGAAGAGGAAGCCCAGGTCTGTCAGCAGTGCAGGGACCACAACGTAGTAGTGTGGTGGAGCCAAGGGTCGCCTAACTCTGTAACCTAGCCCAGGCCACACCCAGGTGTGGCAGCTGAAGGAAGGGAAAGTGCCTTCCATAGCAGACAAACTCTGTGGCCTATGGCAGCACCTCTTCTGTTTGCTGCGGTGGGAAACTCAGCCGGTGCTACCCTCCCCACTGCTGCTGCTGGGTGCCCTGGTCCCCGACCACAGGCTCCACCTCCAACAGACTCCCCATGATGCCTCAGATGCATTTCTGTCAGAAGCCTGTGTCCCCCAGGCTTCTCATCTGTCAGTCCCCTTGTCCCTGCTGTTTCCTCTCCCACCTAAGTCCCACCCATCATTTAGGATCCCTCTTCAAATTCTGCCTGCACCAGGGAGCCTCCCAGATCTGTCAGTAAACATCCCTGTGTTCATGTTTGCCAAGGCAGGAGGAAGGAAAGCAGATGCAAGTGTATCAAGTACCGTTTCAGGAACTTTGTTACTTATTCCCATGAGCCAGGCATTGCTGTTTTGCTTAAAGATCCCGGGAGATTAGGCATTCGGATGAAGGGGTTGAACCTGACTGTGTGACTTCAGTGTAATATGGCTTTCTGACCTGCTTCAAGTGTGGTCTGTTAGGTTTCTAAGTCCACTTAGAACGGCTGTTTTGCACACAGGGGCCCTTTCGTGAAGTGTGACAGTGAATGCCCTTCCTCTCTTCCTCCAGCACCACTGACAGGATTCTCTCCACCAATATCACACGATGAATTGAGTGAACTGGGGGCTGGAGGCCGGCAAGTGGAGCATGCGGGGAAAAGGCCTGCAGGAGGCCCTCGCACCTGGAGGACACTGCAGGGTGCTCACAGAGTCCCGCTTGTCAGCCGCCGCCCATATGGGATGCCAGTGCTTGCAGGGGCATTAACTAGTTGCGGGCCAGTTGCCAGTGTGGGTCCCTTTCAGTTGGTTCTTTCTAGAGGTGTGTTATCTTAAAGACAACTGAGAACCTGTACCGCTAGTCCCACTCCCACGCAGACTTATTTACAAAGCCCTTGGAAGTGAAGGGTCCAGCCTGAAAGTGCCACCCCTTCTTTTTACAGCTGAGGGCCTTGAGTTCGGCCGGGACCTTCCTCCTGTAGGAGTGTCTGAGATGGTGTGCTCCGAGGGGGCGACAGTCCTGGCCGCCTGCAGGAAGGGCGAGCAGGCACAAGCCAATCGGCTTGCGGGCAGTCTAAGGGTGGAAGGAGGTGAAATAACTGCTGGCAACGGCAGCCCACCAGGACAAGGGGCTGCCTGTAGGGTGTGTGGCCCAGCGGAGCTGCTTCCTCTGACTAGCAGGGACTCCACCTCCCGGGTGGCCGCCAGCAGCCCCGACCGCAGTCAGCCGAGCGGAAGGGGCGGGGCTCGCGGCGGACGTCGTGGGTCACGTGGGCGGGCTGCAGGGCACCGAGCGCGCAGTCAGGTGAGTGGCGGGCGATGTGCGGTCACTGCTTTGCAGTGGCACGCGCCGCGAGCGCCCACAGTGGACATGATCATTCCAGGCTCCGGCAGTGATGGTACTGTGCCCGGCGTGGAATTGGGCTCAACATGCGTGCGGGTGCTAGCTGAATTATGGGGCGCCAGGACAAGCTCGCCCTCAGGAGTGGCTCAGTCGGGACCTGGGGTGGGTAGCAGGTGGTCATCTCGGGAAGTCCGTGGCTGTCCTCAGCCTTCCTTTCCGCACGCGATGGTCTAGGACGACTTCTGTGAAAACATCTCTCTCGGGCCCACCCTCGTTTAAGACGAATGCGAAAGGGAACGTGGGAAGTGGGGCCAAGGATGTCTTAAATCCCTGGGAGCTGTGGGGGTGACCCCCTCTTTTCTCGGCTTGGCAGGAAGCATGGCACTCTGGCGGGCATACCAGCGGGTCCTGGCCGAGCACCCGTGGAAAGTCCAGGTCTTGACTGCGGGTGAGTGTCCTTTCGACACCGTAGTAGAGAAGCCACGCCTCCCTCACCTCCTGCTTCTCTTCAGACCCCTGGGGAAGTTGGCTGTGGTTCCTTGGGGCTGCCAGTGTTGGGGAAGGGGAGGTGCCTGGAGACTGTTCTTCAAGAGGCCTGCAGGTTAGCCCCACTGGAAGTGAGGGGCAAGGCCCTGCCCCAGCAGCCTGCAGCTTGGAGAATAGCCCCCAGCTAAGACTCCCTGTGCGGCTTGTAATGTCCAAAGCACTTTGATACATTACCTAGTCGGGGCCCACAAAGCAGTGCTTGATTCCATGTGAGATCAAACACCTACATCTGAAATCAAGATCCAAAGCAGTGCCGGTTTATTTTTCCTAGTATTTCTTATTGTGACATACACTAAAAAAAAACACTAATTTACAGTCTTTTTGACATTTTTGGATCAACCCAGCTTTGAGACTCAGAGTGTGTATAATTCACGAGATTACGGCTCTACTGACTTGTTTATGTCATCGTTTGCTTTGCCTATTGTTTACTCTGTATGTATGCATCCCCAAACACTGCACTAAACAAGACTTAAAAAAAAAAAAAAAACTTAAATTGGTTGATTGAGTAACAGCCTCACCACAATAATCAAGTGACTTACTTGCAAGTATTCTTCACTCTGCAAGGTGGCTCATGTGAGGGGACAGCGCAGAGCTAAGCAACTTTGTAGGCCTCTCAGACTGGACCATCAGGGCTGTGCAAAGGGGAGGAGGGTTGGGTGAAGATGGGGTCTGGCTTGAGTTGAGAGGAAAGAGCAGCCATCTGGAATGAGGATGCTGAGCCAGCTTGAAAAGGGAGATCCTGGTGCCAGAAGAGCCCTGCGTCAGCGCTGGGAACGTCACGGGGTGACTGGCCAGCGGACGGACTCCTGCCCCTGCTGGACCCCTCTCCAGCCTCCTGTGCCCAGCCACCTCTTGTCCTGTCCCCAAAGCATCCGTCAACCCTGCATGACTCACCTGGCTGTGCGTGTGTTTGGTGACTCACACTGGACTGTGTGGCTGTGATGGGAACTGACACGCTGGGCCCTCTGCCCAGCCTCCAATTCCCTCAGGGCCAGCAAGTGCCAGGTGGAAGTTTCCCCCTCCTGGCCCTCAGACAAGGGAGGGAAGGATGGTCTTTTTGTTTTCCTCCCTTCGAGGTGCCTGAGGGCAGAAATGTGACTGCAGAAGGGGCTGCTGGGCCATTGGTGATAGAGCCCCTGACTTTCTATATTCAGAGAAAACTGTGAGTTGAGAGATGGGTAGCAGTCAGTGGATTTAGCTCACTGAGCCAAATGTAGTAGATGTAGGTCCCATGGCCACCACACCAGGAAAACAGAAGCAAAATCTCAGACTCAGCTTTGGGAAATCAAGGATTTAAACCGTAAGAGCCATAAGGGCATGGTGGCTGCATCATCAGGACAAGTCAATAAACCTTTGAAGGTGTCAGTTCTCTAGGACTTGACGTTAATAATACGAACAACTCCATGGGGCCAACATATGTAACCTTTCCAAAAAGCTTTAGAGATGAAGACATGCTTGATCAACTTAAGGTTTCCAGAGGTGGGCCCTCCCTGTGACTGTTGGCACAACAGGTTGTTCTCCCAAGGTGGTGTTGGGGTTGGGTTTGTTCCACTTGCCATGGATCTGAACAGAGATGACTGTCTTAGGCTGGGTGCAGGTGCTTAGTTAACGAGTAGGAAGTAACCCGGTGGTGGGAAAGAGGGAGAATGGAATAAAAGCATGTGATCAGATTGGCCCTTGCTACAGGCAGCTGTTGCTCAGTCTCACACTGGTTGAGAAGCTCTTTGAACTGCTGTCTGGATGGACCAATCATTTCTAGAGAAAAGATCTTTTTCCAACTCCCATCCTGCATTGGTCAAGGGTTCATCCTATGGGATGTGACCTTGCCTTCACATGTGGGCTGCCTGGTCCCAGAAGGCATCATCTGTGAAGCCCCAGGCAGGGATGGGCCTGAAGGGAGGATCTACTACTACTAGGTTGAACTGCAGTGCTGACTGGACTTAGGTAAATGACGAAGATCTGAAATGGCTCCACGGAAGTATGTAATCCTCATCTTTGGTCAAGCCACAGTCAGGAGCCGGGCAGCCTGGGGAGAGGTGTGCCATGAGCTCTGCAGGGTCTGCATAAGCTGAATCCCTTCCTTTCATGAGGGCCCTTCTGGTTCTAGACATCTTAGGTCACCTGGTCCCATGATGGAAGCACTCAAGCTCCTGCAGATACTGATGTCCCTGAAGTCTGAGTTAAGCCAGAGTGGGAGAGCTCGACAATCTTGGAAATTATCCTGCCTCTTCTCTGATGCCAGAGAAGGGACCTGAGGCCAGGGCACAGTGACATGCACTAAGGTCTCCTGTGGTTGGTGGTAGGGCTGCTGTTAGAACCCAGGATGCTGGGCCAGTGCTGTGGCATATATAGTAAAGCCTTCCAATGCCTATATCTCATGTGGATGCCAGTTTCAGCCCTGGCTGCTCCATTTGTAATCCAGCTCCCTGAAATGGCTTGGGCGCAGCAGTGCAAGAGGGCCCAGGTCCTTGGGCCCCTGCCACCCTTGTGGGAGACCTGGCGAGGCTTCTGGCTTTGGCCTGCCCCAGCACTGGCTGTTTTAGCCAAATGAGGAGTGAACCAATAGGTGAAATATCTGTGTGAGTGTGAAACTCTTTTAAATAAATTTTAAATAAAACGGTACCTAGTACAGTGCCCATGGCTAGGTGGACACCTGCTCTCTCAGGTGCTGAACTGCAGCATCCCCTGGGCTGTAAAGCAAACCAAGTTCCTTCCTCACCAGGCAAATCAGTAGTGTGGACTCCTAGATCTGTAGCAACTGCCCCTTGCCAGAAGCTGCCTGACCTGCCCAGCCAGGCCCCATGTGCTGCTCCTCATCCCAAGAAGCCACTTCCTGTTCCTCCACCTTCTCATCGGCTGTGAACACGCTTAGTGTGTCATGATAGGGATGTACACAAAAGCCGGAAGAGGAGCAAAATATAGAAAGTTGGGAGTTCACCCTTCCCCAGGCCTGGCGTGAAAGTTGGGGCTTTTCCGCTGGTAGGCAGAAGGTGATTCCAAATAGACCTGTGCATGGGGGGAGGCAGCTCCTTGCCCCCTCAATCTAGTGGGCAGTGACGGCATGAGAACTGGCACCTGCCCAGGGATATGATGTCACACCCGCGCCAGCGTCTACTCCTGGGCTCCACGCCCAGCTTGGCACTGGGGCATCATTGCCCAGCATCCCCTTGCCCTACCCCATCAGGGCCCTGGGCTGGATGTCTGTAGGTCTCCAACTGCAACTTCCAAGTCCACGGAGAGGGAATGCAGAGCCAACCCATCATGCCAAGGGTGGTCAGTTTGGGCTTTGAGTTGGGAAAGGTGGGTAAGAATCTCAGTGTCTGATTCCTTCCTGCTCAGAGGATCCCGTGGGCTATGAATACAGGCCTTAGACCAACGTGGAGGTCATCTGTGGGCAGAGGTGGACTCTGTTGCATCTGCGATGAATAGGACTGGTGGAGGTTGCCCTACTGCTGTCCCCTGGGTGTCCCTCTGCCTCGATGGGCACACTCCAGAGACCTAGAATCCAATGTCCTCAAAGCCAGAACCATGACTGCCAGATAGCAGAAGCTGGGCCTCTAGCTTGTGTGACTAGGCAAGCCACTGCTTTGTAGTTTTGCTGCCCGCATCTCCATAGGGGACAGGGACCAGGGATGATGGGATTCTGGCGAGTAAAGAGCATCCTAGTCCAAGAAGCAGCTCTGATGTGCAGACCTGCAGTTCCCAGCCTGGTGGGAACTCCCTGCAGAGCTCCTGGGCACCCATTGAGAGCTGGCCTTTGTCCATCTTAGCTCTCAGACTTTCCTTGTCATGAGATGGAGGTGGGCCCAGCCACCACCCAGGCCTGTTGTGAGGAGTGAATGAATGAAGCTGTTTGGCAGACTGACCATGTGGTCTGAGGAGATAGACCACACATTTGTTCCTCTGTTTAGGAAGTGACTGCCTTTTCTGCCCCTCCATCCTGGCCCTCTCACTCTTACCCCTGCCCACGGCTGGTCCCTCCTCCCTGGGCATGCACCTGGTGATCCTTGTGGGATGGAAGTTTGTGGGGGTTGTGCGGGAAACAAGTCCCAGTTCCTGCTCCTCCATCCTCCAGTCTGACCACAGTTCCTGGGGCTGGGCTTGGAGTTCTCCACAGAGCCTGCCTGTGATTTTCTGAGTTCCTGACAAGGGGCGCTTTACCAAGTGTATTCCACCGAGTGTGAGAGGAACCAGGACAACAGAGGTGTCTAGGCTTCTATCATTCCCCTTGGGGAGGTGAGATCCAGTGTCCTGGAAGAGCCCCCACCACTTGGGGAATGCCCCAGGGTGCCCAGGCAGGGCTGCCTTGATGCGTGAGCTAGGGGGTCCAGAACCACAGCCCCAGCCCAGCTCCTGGCCTTCCCCAGATGCCGATGACGAGGCTGCTGTAGAGCAGAGCCATGGGGGAAGGGCAGAGCAGTGAGTGTGCAGCCAGCATGGACGTCAGAGCCAGCTCGGGCCAAGGACTAGGGTGGAAGCTGTATTTGTCCAGTGCTAATTGAGGGCATAGGGACGGTGGTGGCTGCGGAACTGGAGGGGCTCTCATTACTCAACAGGATAGACAAGCAAGCTGGAGATCGCAGGGTCACTCCCCAGGGTCCAGGTGGGGACTGGGTTGTATATGGGAGAAGGCATCACACTGCTGTCACTGAGGGGGCCCTGTCAATAACAAGGGTATCTATTTGGCCTTCCGGGTGGGGACGTCTGATTAGGGCTGCTTGGAGCGAGGTACCTGTGGGGTGACAGGAGGGAAAGCCGGTGCAGGGAGCTGGAAGTCGTGGCTGTAATGCCTATACCAGTTCAGTCTGAGGGTGCAATGCGGAAGTTGGGGATAAGCTGATTGCACGAGAGCGGGCAGGACTAGCTGCATTAGTCACCTACCTGCCTGGCATCACTTGAACACTCTTGCTCTGCTCCATAAATGGAAACCCCAAGACCCAGGTAAAGAGCACTGGCCTTGGCTTTACTGAGTTGAGGGAAAAGCAAAATGGTTCCTTGCCATACTACACGTGACTGCATCGTGTGATGGCTGGCTGGAGAGGTGAAATCCTGGACCTTCATTTCCACACTTCTGAAGGCAAGGGGCTTAGGTGAGATAATCCTGCAGCTCTCAGGCCCAGGATCTTAGCTTTTCTTTCCTCTGTCTAGTTTCTGACTCCATCACCTCCTTTATCTTAATAATAATAATAATAACCTCTATTGGAAAGGTAAATCAGATTTAGAGAGAGAGAGAAATCTTCCATCTGCTGGTTCACTCTCCAACTGGCACCAACAGCTGGAGCTGAGCCAATCTGAAGCCAGGAGCTAGGAGCTTCTGTCTTCCATGAGGGTGTAGGATCCCAAGGCATTGGGCCATTCTCTGTTTCTTTCCCAGACCATAAACAGGGAGCTAGACGGGAAGTGGAGCAGTCAGAACATGAACCAGCAATCTTATGGAATCCCAGTGCTTGCAGGGGTAGGATTCAGCCATTGAGCCATCATGCCAGGTCCTCTGACTCCTCTTTGCTGCTCAGAGCTCCTAGACCCTGCCCTGCTCATCCTAGTTTCTTTTTTACAGTTTAATTACTGATTTGAAAGCAGAGTTAGAGAAAGAGGTCTTTCAACTGCTGGTTTACTCCCTAAATGGTCACGACAGCCAGGGTTAGGCCAGGCTGAAGCCAGGAGTTTCTTCCAGGTCTTCCATGTGGGAGCTGATGTCCTAGCACTTGAGCCAGCTTCTGCTGCTTTCCCAGGTGCATGAGCAGGGAGCTGGATCAGAATGGAGCAGCCAGAACTCAAACCACCATGGGATGCTGCCATTGAAAGTGGCAGCTTAATTTGCTATGCTACAATGCCAGCCCCTCTTCCAAGTTTCTGATAGTACATACATGAGGTGTGACTGTCCTTGGGGAGAGGTGGGGCTTGAGGCAGAAGGAAGCAGCTCTGAGGCCCAGGGTGCCTCATGTGCTTAGCAGACTCACTTCCCTCCTGGAAACAGCAGCCATGTTCTGACAACCCCCGTGTACCCTGCACAGGGTCCCTGATGGGCCTGGGTGACATTATCTCACAGCAGCTGGTGGAGAGGCGGGGTCTGCGGGAACACCAGGCCAGCCGGACTCTGACCATGGTGTCTCTGGGCTGTGGCTTTGTGGTAAGTTCTGCACCCAGCAGGGACAGTGCTCTGGTTCTGCACCACCCTTTAGTTCCCCGTGGTTTCTCTCACGTCAGCCAGCCCTGCCATCCCTGCAACACCTGGGACTTGGGTTATAAAAGCCATGTGTCCCCTTCCCTGCATGGGGTTGACTTTCAGGGCCCTGTGGTAGGAGGCTGGTATAAGGTTCTGGACCGGCTCATCCCAGGGAATGCCAAAGTGGATGCACTGAAGAAGATGCTGGTGGATCAGGTAAGCAGAAAGAGAATGGAGCCAGAAAGGGCAGGTGGGGGCAGGTACTCACAGAAGCCTTCATTTCTTGCCCTAGGGGGGCTTTGCCCCATGTTTTCTAGGCTGCTTCCTCCCACTGGCAGGTGCCCTCAATGGACTGTCAGCCCGGGACAACTGGGCTAAGCTACAAAGGGTAAGCCAGGCAGGTGTGGGCAAGGTCTCTGGCTGCCAAGCTAGCAGCCCAGGGGCAAGAGGCAAACGGTGGGGGTGCAGGCAGATAGAACAGGGGAGCAGAGGGGGGCGTGGTGCAGGAGTAAACTCCTTGAGCAGACAGCGGTGTGTAGTATTCCCGTTGGGATGTGGGAGCTGCTAGAGGAGGAAATGTTAATTTGTTGTTTCTGTCTCTTTAGGACTATCCGGATGCCCTCATCACCAACTACTACGTGAGCGCTGACACACTCATAGCCTGCCCTGTTTCCTTAAGTTCAGAAATGCCCTGGGGGTGGGTTATTCCAACCCAGGACCCCCTCCAGTGGGGTGCTCATTTCCTTAGGTAGCATGCTCAGGGATGTGCCTGGCAGGTTTTCAGCTGTCACTCTTGTCTAGATGTTGGGGCGGGGCCAGGTGATGCTTGAGCCTAGCAGTCAACCGAGGGAGGCAGCCACCCAACCCTCACCTTCCATGTCTTGCAGCTCTGGCCTGCTGTGCAGTTGGCCAACTTCTACTTGGTGCCCCTGCATTACAGGTATGACGCCCTCCCTTACCCCAGCCTTCAAGGAAGACCCTTGTCACCCAGCAGCCAAAGAACTCATTTTAGCCCTGAGCTGTTTTGGGCCCCAGCTGGCATACCCTTTCCTGGGCAAGGCTTCTCAGACTCCCAAGCATTTTTCTCTAAAACATCTTAGACTTCACAGGATCTATTCTGAGGTGCCTGCCCACGGACCTCTCATCTTCCCAGGGAGGATCCTGCATCCACAACTCTGGTTTCTGTGCCTTTGATGGGCAGTTCCTTGGGGCGCTGTAGTTTAGGTTACACAGATAGGTAGACCAGAAGGCCCAGGTAGGAACCTGATCAGGCCTGTTCACTGCAAAGTACAATTTTATCCTAATAATAAAGGTAATTTCTCAACCACAATTTTAAAAATCGCATAGAGTGAAACTCACAATGAATAGTGCAAATACTTGGAGGTGACAGGTTTGGGTTATAGGGGAGAACGCAAAACTCCTCAAAGGAGGCAGTCAAAATTTATATAATTCACATTGCTAAAAGGGGTAGCATCTTGGGAATCAAATCCCAAACACTAAGATCCTTTATAACTGCTTTGAAAGTAGAACCAACTTAGTTTAAGATAAAGAAAAGAGGATGCTACTTTACCCAGCATGCAGGACATTTCTGGAAGCAGAAAGCTTGTGCAGGGTGCATACATAAGTGTATATGCAGAGGGCCTGACCAAGGGTGTGAATGGCAAATCTCTGCCTGTCCCCACAGCTGTTGAGGGTGTTTAGCCTTTGTCACCCAGGAAGACAGCAGCAGGATTGGAGCTGTGCCCTCCTCTAAGGGCTGAGGAAAGAAACCTAAATCTGGAAGTCTTGCCTCCCTTCCCCCAGCCTCTCACTGTCCTTGCCAATCTGTGCCTTCCCAGCTTGCCTCACTCTTCCTCTTAGGTTGGCCGTTGTCCAGTGTGTTGCTGTCATCTGGAACTCGTACCTGTCCTGGAAGGCACACCAGCTCTAGACCCACATTGCTCCATGGTGTGTACCTTGCAGCACAGCTTGACTCTGGAATGGTCAGACAACCTCCTCCAAGGGGCCGGGGTAGGGTCCAAGCATTTGGGATTGGCACTTTGAGCTGGCATGATTCACTCTGCAATGTAAACTGACTGCTTCTGAAATTGGTAGAGCCTTCACAATGCATCACCTGACAACAGCGCTACTTCCCAAGCAATGTAGCATTAGGCAATTTTGTCAGTGTGAACCTCCCAGAGTGGACCTACCCAAACCAAGATGGTATGGGCCAGCCACTTGAGGTGGCCTCTTGTTCAATCAAGAAAGGTAATAAACGTGAAGCCTACAGACCACCACCAGTGTCACTCAGCACGCGGCCCGGGTTGCTAAGTGGGAGTACATGCTTACAAATGTTGTTTCTTACCGAGTTATGTGCTCTGCATAACCGTGTGCTGTACTTTGATAGGATGGTAACTTGGTAGCTTTGTTTACATCATTATCATCACGAACAGGTGAGGAATGCATTGCACTTCAATTTACCACATCCGGATGTTGCTCCTGGGTGCTGTGCTCATCAGGCTCATCTCGCGGGGCATTGCGGTGTGTGTGGGTCATCACTGACCATATCAGCATTGGGCAGTACCCAACTGCGATCTATACCCACCTGCAGTACCTACTCCCAAAATACATGCTTGGCTTTTAAAATGATTTATTTACTTGTTTATTTGAAAGATTTTCAGTCAGAGAGATCTTCCATCTGCTGGTTTGCTCCCCGAGTGGCTACATTGCCTGGGAGCTGGGCAGCCAGACTGAAAGCAGGAGCCTGGAGCTTCTGGGTCTCCCACAAGGGTGGCCAGGGCCTCTGCTGCTTTTCCAGGCCATTAGTAGGGAGCCAACTCAGAAATGGAATATTCAGGGCTTGAGCTGACCCATATGTGATGCCAGTGTCATGATTGCCAGCTTTACCTGCTGTGCCACCACACCAGTTCCATAAATCTGTATTGAATCCTGTGACCATTGTCCAGCAAATGTCACTCATCCTCTCTTCCCAGACTGTCACTCCAGCTCTTTGGGGTCTCTTAAACTCTATACTGCAGCAAGTATGGCATTGAATATGTAATCTGGAATCTGCAGAGGTAATGAGTACTGGGTAGTCACATTTTCTCAAACCTGCAAGAGGTCTGGGAGCACGAAACCCAACAGGGACACCTTGAAGTAAAGTCGCCTGTGCATGCCATGAGGTAGTGACAGAGTAGGAACCTGGACCTGTATCCTCACTGCCTTCCCAATGGTCTCAACTAGGTTAAAGGTGTAGTAATACCATTGCCAATGCCCAACACAAACACTGATCTGGGCTAAGCCACCACTTTGGACAAACTCAGAAGCAAAGCTTTATGTGGTTAAAAAAAAGCCAGCTTTATGTGGTTGGGAAGCACCCTGAGGCTGGAGGCCCTCCTGTGTGTCTGTTCGCATGTGTGCCTGTGCCTGCAAGCACATGGTGCCTCATTCAGAGGGATGACTTGACTCAGGGCTGTAATGAGGTCTCTATCGGTGACCTTGATGTGGCAGACCCCTTTCAGCCCCTGGTGTTGGCTGAGTGCCAGCAGCACGCTGTGACTCTGGGTTTGTACAACTAATAGCTCCAGCAGGGGACTGGATCCACACAGTGCAGCCTTCTCTTAATGCCTCTGGCTCCTTTCTGGAGGCCCAGGACGGCGTCAGCACCATGGACAGCCGCCACAGGCGGCCTTCCTTTCCTTTAACGAAAAGGAAAGCCGGCTGGGAGCGATCTTTGGGAATGGGCCCGGTCCTTGCTGGCTGCTTTAAGAGGGAGAGGGACACTGCGGGACTTCCAGAGCAACATTTCCGTCCAGTCAGCTTCTCGCTCTTGGGAATCCAGCGCTGGCCCGGGACATGCTGTAGTATCCGGAGTGTGTGCACCTCCGGGGGCTCGCAACCCGGCCGTCTTGTCAAGAGGTTGAGTCTGTCATTGCTCTCCACCACCGGTGCTTGTTCCCGGCTGACGTCAGTCGGAGCTGTCCTGGCGCTATATAAGGCTGGCGGCGGTCCCGGGACAGACCCCGCGCTTCCCCAAGCGCACTCGGTCTACCCCGAGGGACAGAGGTTGCAGCTCCATCTCGCACCGGCCCTGCGCTCTCTGACACCCTGTGAGTGGCTCCTCCCTTCTGCTCAGACTCCCTGGGCACCAGGACTCCATGCTCAGACCACCGGCAGTGGCCCGCCAGGAGGGAGGCAGGGAGATGGGGAGCAGGAGGAAGAGGTGGATCCGGCAGTGGCCAGGGCTGGAGCAGTGACGGGAGGCAAGCTGTGTGCACTAGGCAGCAGCCCGAGGTGACCCGCGGGGCGCTGGGTGTGCGCCGGAAGGGAATTTGCCACCTGCGGCTGTCCCAGGCGCACCTCACTGCCCTCTGTGTATCCAGGGCACCATGAAACAGGCGGCACGCGCGGCGCTGCTGGGGGCGTTACTGCTACTGGCCCAACTGCGCCCCGGGAGCAGCCAGTGGAATTCGGCGGCAGCAGCGGCGGCAGGGGTCCGGGACCCAAATCTACGTTGGAGTCCCGGGACACGGAGTCAGGGCGGTGGGGCCCGCGCACTTCTCTTGCTGTTGGCCGAGCGCTTCCCGCACCGCGTGTGGCCCGGCCGCCGGGGACCCGAAACGGAGAGCGAGCGGCTGCGACGCGATGACCCTCCACTATCCATCGACCTCACTTTCCACCTGCTGCGGACCCTGCTGGAACTGGCGCGGACGCAGAGCCAGAGGCAGCGCGCCGAGCAGAACCGCATCATATTTGACTCGGTGGGCAAGTGATCCATCGGGCCGGGGGCGGGCAACACCCTGGTCTCTTCCCCCACCACCGGTTGGAAGGAGCGCGCCCCGAACTGAGTCGCGTGGGACAGAGGGGCCCATTCACCCTGGGCACTCTGCGTGTCTTTTTTCTTTCTCTCCTTTCTTTCTTTTCTTCTCTCTCTCTCTCTTTTTAAATAAAAAATGAGGACGGGCTTTGGTTTTTGTTGTGGGAGCGCGGCAGCCGCAACAGGGTCTGAACCTGTGGGAGAGTCGGGTCTCCTAGGCTGGCGGGAGGGACCCACGTGTTGCAGGGGGCTCCTCCAGAAAAGCTTCCGGCCGTTCCCCTTGGGGTCCCATCACCCCTCTCTCCAAAATCCCGGAAGGTAGCGGTCTCGGCATCCCCTGGATCCCCTTCTCCCTCCCATAGCACCGGGCTCACGAGGCCCAACACAGGTTCATCTCACTGCCGCCCCCTCCCCGAAGTGGTCTTTGGGGAAGGGAAGAAGGCAGCCAGTGGGAGTGGGCAGCGAAAGGAGATGCGAGCCTGGGACGCTACAGTCCTTTATTGAGCCATACTTCCACGGGTAGTGCCAAGCTGGGGGTGCGGTCACCGCTGCGCAGATCTCCCACCACACCGGTGGGGGGTTGCAGACTCTCCACTGCGAGCCGGCTCAGTGTGGGCCTGTGCTCGCGAGAGACAGCTGTGTGAGCTGGTGCCCCAGTCACCCACTCCGGTTCCCCAGCCATGTGCGTTTCTCCTCGCTTTGCCCACCCGCATGGAGCCCCCAAGCCGCCGGGAGCGGCCAGCGGTGAGTAAGAAAATGCACTTGGATACTTGGGTCTCTCCTTTGTGGCTCGGGATGGGTGGCATTCAAAGGGCGTGGGGGCACTCACCTTCCGGCGCGTCCTGCCGCTCATCTGGCCCTACACCGGTGCCTTCATCCCCGTCCAACACCACCTCTTCGTCGTCTTCCTCCCCGGCAGCACCTGGACCCACGGAAGGCCCTGTGAGGTGGCGGCCGGGTCTTGCCAGCCCCCTCCCCCCAGCGCCGTGGGTCTGACTGCCAGGGTGCCTACCCCCACCCCGGCCAGTACTCATTCCCTCACCTGGCTGGAAGTCGATGGTCCTCAGCATTTCAGCCACATGCTCCACGCTCACCGTGAACTGGTCCATACTCTCGTAGCCCGGCTCTGGCCGACTTGCCAGCTCCACCTTGGACATCGCCCCGACCCTGTGGGGAGCCGTGACGACTCAGCTGGCTGGCAACGCTCCCACACCCTCGAACCTTGGAGCCCACGGCCCTTTGGCTGCCCCTTCCCGCTCTGCCTACTCACTTATTGATCAGCTCCTTGGCTTGCTGCAGGGGAGAGAAAAGGGTGCGAGTCAGATCGGATCGGGACCACAGCCTCGGGCAAAGCCCGCTCCAGGGCCCCTAAACGGGCCTGCAAGTCACACCTTTCTTTTGGGAGAAAAGGAGCTGGGGGTTGTGGGGTGGGGGGTTGTGGGGTGGCGGAGTGGCGGTAGGGTGGGGAGGTGGGGGGGTGGGAGTAGGGTGGGGAGGTGGGGGGTGGGGCTTGCCCAAGGTCATAGGGCAACAGACAACCCTGGAACCCGGGGCCAAGGTCGCGCCCACCTGGAGGTAGAGCGCCATCTGCGGCTCCTCCATGGACTGGATGGCCAACTCCACCAGCTTGCTCGAGGCCTCCAAGTGGTCTCCGTACTGCCGGATGAGGCCACGGACCTGCTGCAGCTTCTCCTCTTGCTCGCGCGCCAGCGCCTGCAGCAGCTCGCCCTTGCGCTCCTCCAGCACAGCGCACAAACTCTCAAACCTCTGATTTAACAACTGCTTCTGCCTTCGGCTGTTGTCCTAAGAGACCCAAGGCCTAGATGAGTACAGCTAGTCTGGGAGAGCTAGAATGCTCACCTCTGCCCCACATTTGATGGGACTGGCGGGGAGGTGAGAAAGCAAGGTGCAGGGGGTTACAAGCAAGGTCATACCCTGCCAGAATCCAGCCCCTGGCCTTTCTGACAAGAGATATTTTAGACCCGCAGCCATCTGTGTCCTTGGCCCTGGGTTCTCTTTGTGTTGTTCCATTGAGTTCTCAGGAAGACCCTGTGAGCTGGCTGCTGTGTCATCACCATCACCACCAAGCACCAAAGCTCAGAGAAATTAGACACTGGGCCAAAGGCACAGAATTAGCAAGCAGTTGAGCTGGAATGCAGACCTAGCAGCCTGGTGAAGCATATCTCACTATTTGCAGGAGGCCAGAGTTCAGACAGGAGCAGCAAGCACTCTGAGGTCCAGGGTGGCCAGGCCAGCCAGTATACACCTCCCCACCTCCCTGCTTGGCCACCTGCTAGCCCAGGCTCACCTCGATGGTCTGGCACACCTCCTCCATCTGTGTGATCACAGCTTGCACCCGGTCGTTGCCTGCCACCAGCATCGCGATGCCATCACTGAGCTCACTCTGATGCACACACAGGCTAGAGCTTAGGACTGGAGGGTCCAGCCCAGGAGCTGCTCCCATCCCACCCCAGCCAGCACTGCACTGGAAAAATATGCTCCTTCCCCCTCAGCCCTCCATCAGGGCATCCACAAAGAGCTAGAAGGATTAGAGCCATCTGAGGAGTGTGGATGTGTGTTCTATGAGTTCTGGAAGTATATCATTTGAAGGGACCGGCATTCTCCAAATGGCCCCCTGAGGCTGGCCATTGGGCTAGATGCTTCATCTGTAGATTCATATCTTCCATCAGTTCTGGAAAATTCTCAGGGTTATCATTCAGATAGTACTGACTCTTCTCCAGGCCCTGTTCGCCCTGTTCTCAGAGTCAGGGAGTCTGGTTAACCTCTTCTCTTTCTCAGCCTTTCATCTCCCAGGGCTGCATCCTGCTTTTCTCAGTCCTTGTGTTCTACTTACTAATTGTCTCCAGGATAAAAACAAAAACTGTCATTTAATTGACTGTTCTATTCCAACAATTGTAGTTCTATTTCTTTCTTTTGTGTGTGTTTCTATTTTTAAAAACTTTATTTGGCTCTTTGTCCAAAATGCATGGTCAGGAGCCAGCATTGTGGCATAGCTGGTAAAGCTGCTGCCTGTAACACCAGCACCCCTGATGGCTGCTGACACAAGTCCAAGCTGTTCCACTTCCAATCCAGTTGTTAATGTACTGGGGAAAAGCAGTACAAGATGACCCATGTGCTTGAGCACCTGCCATCCATGTGGAAGGCCCAAAAGAGGCTCCTGGCTCCTAGTTTTGGCCTGACCCAGTCCTGGCGATTGCAACCATCTGCAGCGTAAACCAGCAGATGGAGGAAATCTCTGTCTCTGTAACCTGACTTTCAAATAAATAAATAAGTAAGTCTTACACAAGGTAATGTTTGGCACTCTGTTATGGCTTGTTTTTTTACTCCATGTTTATGAAGGCATTTTATTCATAGTAAGTTTTTATTCTTCAGTAATTCCAGGGAAGGCATTGTAATGTAGTGGTTAAGCTAAAAATGCCTGTATCCCTTAAGGGAGTGCCTGGTTTAATTTCCATCAGTTACTCTTCTGATCCAGCAACCTGCTAATCCACATGCTAAAACCAGCAGGTGATGGTTTAAGTAACTGAGTGTCTGCCATACACGTGGGAGACTTCCACTTTGGCCCAACCCCATCTGGGCCACTGTGGGCATTTCAGGAGTGAACCAGAGAACGAAAGCTTTCTTTCTCTCTTTCAGATAAATAAAAATATATAGTCTTTTAAAAACAAACTTATCCTTAAACAATAATGCCCAATAATTCCTTGGAAATTGCAAATCTGTAGTTTTTGTTTATATTAACTTCACTCATAGAATACCTTGCTTTGTGTGTCTTCTATTATGAGCTAATATTCGGTTGATAAGGTAAATGCAAGGGCCTAAATGAAGGGCATTTTCCTCCAGGAAGAATTTGCATTTGCTCTGTCAAAAGCCAAGTGGTTGGGGCAGAGTTGTGGCATAATAGGTTACGCTAACACTTGTAACTCCATGTCCCAGGCTCTGGGTTCAAATTCTACTGCTCTGTGTCTGATCCAATGCCCTGCTAATGTGCCTGGCAAGGCAGCAGATGGTGGACCGAGTGCTTGGGCTCCTGCTAGCCGTGTGGGAGCCTGAATGAAGCTCCTGGATCCTGACTTTGACCTGGACCAACTTTAACTGTTGGAGCCATTTGGGAGAGTGAACCAGTAGGTGGATGATTGCTCGCTCTCTCTCTCTATTACTTTGTCAAATTCAAAGAAATCTTCAAAAGAGTCATTGAGAAAGGAAAGGCCAGATGGTTCCTGGCACTCCAGGAGTCTTGGCAGTGTTAAATATATGTTTCCCAGGTTTTATAGGCTTGGAAGTATAGTTGCCTTTGCTTTTACATATTTATTTATTTTCATTGGAAAGAAACTTCCACCCACTGCTTCACTCCCTAAATGGCTGCAGCAGTCAGATCCAAACCAGTGCCCATATGGGATTCCAGCACTTGTAGGTAGAAGATTAGCTAATTGAGCCAGTGTGCCAGGCCCTGGATGTATAATCATTTCTCACCACATCACTGTTTATTGCCTGGTTTGGTCCTCTGGGAAATGCTCAGCTTACTCTTCTCCCACCCCACCCATACTCAGAGATTCATTTTATTTCCTCTGTTCCAGCCAGTATAACTTTAACATTATAAAAGGAAAATTTCTTTTTGGGGACTGGCAACATAGCATAGAAGACAAAGCCTTCCCCTCAGGCACCAGGAATTTATCCAGATCTCCCAAGTGGACACAGGAGTACTGGGTTCATCTTCTCCTGCCTTCTCAGGAGCCAGGAGCTTTTTCCAGCTCTCCATGTAGGTGTAGGGACCCAAGCACTTGAGCCATCCTCCACTACTTTCCCAGGCATATTAATAGGGAGCTAGATGGAAAGTGGGGTACCTAGGACTCAAACTGGTAGTCTTATGGGATGGGATGCCAATACTGTAGGCAGCAGTAAAACCCACTGTGCCATAGCACCATCTCCGATTTTTCA